ATTCAAATGTGTAACTTAGAACTACGAATAAATGGAATAAATTTATTAAGGGTCAAAAGATGGTTAAGATATTTTAAATTGCTTGTCAAAAATATGTATTACAAAGTCATACAAATCAAAATTCTTGGTTATTCTATAAACATATTTACCATTTTTACAAGTATTTAGAAAGTTTTTGTAGTGACTGATACTTGAGTTTCAACTTGGAATATAATTTAAATAATCTATGGGTTTTTTGTACTTCTTAACCTATGTAAAGTCATTCTTGTAAAATACAAAACTGTTTAGCAATTGTACGAATATTTTTTCCATGTGTAAAAGCCAAGCCACAGCGATCATCATTCCCAACCCGAGTCTGTTTCTGTACTTGTATCTGTATCTGTATCTGTATCTGTATCGGTGGCAGCAGCAGCAGCAGCTTTTCCTTGGCATGCAGTTGTCGCCATTGCAGTCGTCGTCGCCTTGTCGCACATTTTCCGCGTGGTTGTCGTGGCTCGTCCCCAGAAGAAACACCAAGCCGAGTTAAAGCCAAGTTAAAGCCGGGGAAAAACAACTCGAAACGATTCCAAAAGCCATGCCCTCCTCCTCCCACTCTCACCCCCATCGCACTGTCTCTTTCTTATGTGCGTTTTTGGTTACGGGCTTAATTTACAATTAATGAAATTCGATCGTTTTATTAACTGTACATTTTGCATGATTTATGCCCCACACTCCGCGGTAATGAATAAGTTTTTGACAATTTTCCACTGCTTTTGGTTCATTTCACGTTTTTGTGCCGTTGGCTGTCCATTAACCTTCATTAGGCTTAGGGGACTATTAACACCCCCCATCCCAAAAAGTCCCCATCCAAGCTGTCATTGCTTTTGTCCATTTATGGTTGGATTGCATTGCCGGCGTTGACAATTTCTATCGACGATTGCACAATTAAACTCTATTTATTTATTTGTTTCGCTTAATGAACTGTGTGAAACATTTTCGATGTCTCAAATATTATGCCCAGGCCAAAACAATTGCAGCACCACCACACCCGCAGCCAAACATTCACCCACCCAAACATTGCATGTACACTGGTAAATAAATCAAAACACAGAGAAAACTATCCAAAGTTTTGGGTGCAAAAACTGGGTTAAAACATTTTAAGATCGAACAATTCGAATTTGTATCCCGATGTTAAATAAAATCGATTGATATTATTAGTTAGCAAACTAATGAAAACTAATGGTAGAAAGTGGTTCTTTATTCGCTTTATTCTGAAGTTGTCAATTGTCAACTTAAATATTATTCAAAAAAATCTATTAAAATGTTAAATTTTTAGTAGTGTACCATAACAACAAAAGCAGCCACGCAACTTGTTTCAGTTTTCGATTTGTTTTTGGTTTTTCTTTTTCGCTTGCCAAGCTGCTCGCGCATTTTTGTGCAGCGCAAATTGTTATTGCACAATTTTCGGTTTTGGGGGAATTCAATGCAATAGCCACAAACTGAAAGACAGACAGCGCACAAAAACAACAAATACGAAACACACACACAAAATGCGCCTAATTGTCGCTCTTTCAGCTGTCGCACATAACACTTTGTTTTTGCTAATTTTCTGTCACCTGTGTCGTTTTTTAAATGCATTTTTTCTCGGCCACACAATTCAGACAATAGAGCTGGCATCAAAAAAAAAATATGGTTAAGAGCACGTGACTGCTGATTTTTTTTATGGGCGAAAAGAATAAGAATCGGGATCATCTTTGTCTTCGTGTGACTCACTTTGACACAGTTGCAGTTGCCAGTTTGTTGCCCTTTGTTTTCGGCTACCGGGAATTATCATCTCCGAAAGCCAGAACATCTCTTCTTTCTTTCCTTCTGACACCGCAACCGTTAAAATTGCATGCCTCGACATTGGCCATTATCAAACTAAGGCATCAATCTGCCAGAACCAGAGCCGCACAATTGCAAATTGCCATGGCAATTACGAGTGGAAATGGTCGGAAGGGGCTAAAAATGGAGCAGCCGGCTGGGAACACGTTTTAGGCCCGGCTAGAAGATACTATCCAAGTCAGGTCTATCGAAAAGGCCTGGCCAGCTGGGCGATTATGCAATTTACAAGATCTGGCTGCAGCAGTTGCATCTCCAGAATGCAGTCGAGCGCAGCACACCAATTGTTGAGGCGGCTAAATCATTTTTAATACCCAAATTTAAAACGAAATAATCATAAATAACTGGGTTAATTTGTAACGCTTCCATGGGCATGCGTAATGAACCATTCAGCCCGTTTGGAGCTATTCGGCTCGCCCAAAAGCTGCAGCGAAATGTGAATGAAAATGAAATTCAATTAACGCTGTCATATCAAAGAAAGTCGGATAGAACTAGATGGTCTTGTGGGTACAGTGAGTCTTCAATAACCTGGGATTTCGGTGTCATCAAGGGGTTGTATTCATAAAAGATCCTCTTATTGTTAAGCTATTTATAATATAAACTTACAGCACAGCTCAGTACCTTTAAATAAACATATTTATCTGAAAATTTGGTCTTCATAATTTTTAAAGCAGAGTTTAACATGATCAATAGGGGCACCGTTAAAATTGGTTCTTAGAAAAAACATTTTATTAAAAGTTATTTTACGTTAAAATATAATTAATAATAATTAATGGGATGCTTACAAACATGTATTTCAATGATATTTCCCAAACTTAAAGTTTCCACCACCAGGGAGGTCTGACTGTATATGCCTTCGTATATTTTAGTGGCAACTAGTCAACGACTGTCAAGTTCAAAGTTATAAATGTGCCAGGGATCGTGCGGAGTTTTTTTAATTTCCATGATTTCGTTGTGTTTGCTGGCAGCATACGAAATCAGATCACAAATCTTTTGTGGGTCTCTTTTATTTTTCGGTCGATAGGGGCTTTTTTGTTTAACAGATTTCTGTTTCCTGCGCTGCATTTGAAAGTCGCAATCGGAGAATTATTCTGTCATTGACTGGCGCAGAGCCCGGGGATCAATTACCTTTCAAAACCAATTTGCATTTAAAAATGCATAACGAAATCGTGTGCACACAATGCAATATTTTGGCAGTCACACGCTGGGCTCGCGGAGTTGGCAGTTGTTCATTGTTTGCCAGCTGATTGGCAGGCTTTCAAATTGCGAATCAAGCGGCATCAAATGGAAAATGAAAATGGAAAATGCAGGTGGCTCGGTGGCTCGGTGGCTCGGTGGCTTGGTGGCTTGGTGGCACCCACACAGCCTTATCTCCCTTTTGGCAGTTGCTCATTATTGCAACAGTTGCAAGTCGGTCTTGGCTTTTTATATATATATATATTGTATTTTTACGACCAAAGGTGTGTCAGTAGTTGCAACTGCCATTTGCTGCTCGATCGGTTCAATCAATATGCTCTAGGCACGCAAGCTCTCCACTTCACTTGGGTTAAGCTCGCGTTCATCTCTTGCCAAAATATGGGTTAATTTGGCCCCCAGAGTTTGGTTTTGTCTTATTTTCATTGCTGATGAACAATTTTCGGTAACTCTTACTTTTGATTAGGCCATGAGTCTGCAGATTTGCCGGATTAATTCTTGAAAAGTAAATCTGGCGATGATTTGTCAACTCTTCGAGTGGCTTTCTGTCTCATTCAACGTTTTCATTTCTAGGTTAGAAAAACACACATAGCTTTTGAGGGGCTGCTTTCATTTTCAGATGCGCAAGATTGTGTAACACTTCCCCCATGCATGTTTTATTGCATTCTGTCATGCAACTTGCCACAAACCGAACTAACAGTCGTAAATTATGACGGGCTGTCTATAATTAATCAAAGCACTAGGGCCGCCGTCTACTGGGGCAGTTAGTCTCAATTAACACACGCAAATTGGCCAAAGCTGGCAGGGTTTATTTCTCAGCCATGTGCTGATGCTGTACTGGTAAATATGCCAGGCATTTGAAAGTAAAAACAGCTCCGCACCTACCGGAATTTGTTATACATTTAGTATACAATGCGAGATGCATTGTTAGTGCTGGATTGGCTTTGGCTTTGGCTAGCTCGGCCTTTTGTGTCGCTCAACCAGTTTAGAAATTCTACTGGTTTGAGTGACGACCATGGCGAAACCTGATGTGCCACATCCACATCGGGCGATTTGTATTCCAAATGACGTCTGGTTCCGTTCCGTTGGCCAGGCTACGTATGTCAGCTGATTGAATTGCAAAAGGAGGGATGGTAAATGCGAAAAATGGAAAAATGGAAAAACGAAAACGAAGAAGACTCGGGTGGGGCTTGGAAAATTGTGCAAGCTGTTCTGCAAGTTATATGAGACATTTTGCAATCAACGTCACTCGTCTTGGCCTTGTACTTCCTGAACATATTTGGTCAGTTCTTCAGCCTCACACTCGAAGAAAAACTAGCACTTTATTTAACTGTAGTGATAAGAAAAGTGGCTATATTGAACAAAATAAATTTGGTTTATTACCACGGAGAAGAATTACAAATAATTTGTCAAAGTCAACTTAAATAATGAATATATCTTACTGCTTTAGAAAAGGTTAAAACTAAGGTTTAGTTAAATCATGTTATTTAATCAATGATTTCTAGAACACAGTTTAGGAGTATACAGGTCCATATCAATAAGCTATACTTAAACTATACCAAATCATTTGTTTTCTGTGCATCTTCATCTCATCACCCGCTAATTTATACCGCATTGCATTATCGATTGGCGTTTGGTTTATGGCCCAGACTCAAGTCGAGTTTTGTTAAAATTTCGTGTCCAGCTGGGCAAACGAAACTGGCCTAGCAACCTTTAAGCAACTACCTGCTTTCAGCTGCTCAGCTGTTTGTTTAACTTGGCTTAAATTTATGCATTTAGTCAAGGCATTTATCATGCGAAAGATACAACACGAAATTAGCATATAGCGCGGTGCGTGCCAATATTTTTTGTTTGGCTGAACAAAAGCCCAAATATCGAAACGATTGCCTTGATTAGTTGACAAATAAACTAACCTCCTTTTTTTTTTTTTGGCTTTCTCTTTGCAGCTTGGAGTCTCCGGGACATTTCGCATTAAAATTGCAGCAAAAAAGGTATGTAACAAATTTCTTAATTAACTCAAAAGCAAACTTTCGCAGCGCCTAGCAAATATGCCAATTAAGTCAATAAATATTTGCCAGCTGCTATTTACGTTTTGACACCGACCAGCAATAAAGATTTCCAAAAATGCTTTTACATTTTACAAATGGCAGACGAACAGGCTTTTGAGCCGCACAGAAATCATTTATGTTAATCAACACATGTTTTTTCGGAGTCATTGGCTCTGGGGGAATTCTTTTTTTTTTTTTTTTTATTTTGCTTGTGTCTCCGGCTTGGCTTTTTCTATATATTATAAAAGGCCCAAAAAACCAAAACAAAAAATAAATATATACAGAAAACGTGTTTGTGAGTGTCGCACAAAAACAAAATTCAAATTCAAATTGTGCCCCGTTGAAATTTGCGCTAATGTTGCCATTTGTGTTGCTGTTGCTGCTGGGCCAGTTTGAGGTTGCTCGTGTGCTGTTGCTGTTGCTGCTGCTGCTGCTGATGTTGCTGTTCGCCGCGAGTTATTTTTGGTATGCCCCACCGACTCTATATGGACGCCCCATGCCGAACAAGATTTCTGCGCCAGCGCAAACTCCAAAGTCAGATTTTTAGCGTTTCTTGTTTCTAATTCTCATGCAAATATGTACTGCCAGGTCATGTCGCTTCTGTTGCTCCCCAACTGTTTGCATTTCAATAAGCGCGCACACGATTTCTGCATATTTCTCTTTCGGGCAATAAAAGATTCTCGTGAACTGGCTGTGACTCAAATCAAAGTCAAACATTTCCAAATCGAATTCGCAATAATATCTAAACGGGTTGTGGAGAAAAGGTGGGAAAAAGCAAACCGAACAGCAACGACACTTCTGATAACTAATACTTTGGAAAAAGCCATAAAAGTAACAAAGAGAGATAAAGTCAACGCTTTCGGCAGGGTAGAACGGAAATCGTAAGTTTGGCAAGAGAAACGAGAGTAACTGCAGAAAAGACAGCAAAAGCTGTTGACGAATATTACGCATACGCCGCGTTAGTGAGTCACAAAGCCAGTCATTGTGCGATCCCCCATCGAAAGCCGCACTCAACCCCACGCTGATTCAAATTGGTTTGTCATTAGTCTTCACAGAAATCCATCAGAGATAGCCACCCAATAAAATTGAATATCACGAAGCAATTTATCAGAAAAATAATATTATGTAGTATCCTACATTTGTGGGATTTCCATTTTTAAAATATAGAGACAATCTTTTTATTTTTATATATTTTTATATTCAACGCAGAATTGATGAAGCGTTATAGGATGAAACAAAACACTACTTGACTTACTAAATAATTCACAAAATAGTTAAAGATGGAATCATAAAAACATTTCAAATTGTGGTAACAAAAAAAACTTAATTTAAAACCAATTTTAAACGCTTCTTCTTTGAACATTTTTCGAGTGCACTTGATCAACGATCAAGCTGGCTTTAACAGCCTGATTATGCCTGAATTGCAACCCAAAGGGCTGCTAAAGTGCCTGTTGTGCTGTTGTTCGTCTCCTCACCAGTTGACCATTAAGCCAATCCAAACAAGTGCCTTGATGGCCAAGATCTGCTTTAATCTTCTGATTTGTTTGGGTTATGCTGCCTTTCAGAATGCCGAGCCCATGCCCCCCGTTTCATTATCGAACGCGGCAGGGATCCCATTGCCTAGCGTTAATTCGTGTGCTTATGAAGTTGACATGCCGAACGAATCCAAGGGGGCCAAGCATTATTTTATGGCCGCCCTTTTATCCGGGCACCGCATAAACTCACACTTAAAATCAATAAACGTAAACTGGCCCGCCCAACGGCGAATTGCATTCGACATGTGTAAGCGATAAAACTATAAAATAGCACGAACTTATGCCCACAATAAACATAAACCATTCCGGGGCGAGAGATGAGCCCTAAAAGCGATTTGCCAAAAAAAACAAGTAAGAACCGCAGATACCACAGAAGAATTACCAAGCCGGGATTCAGTTGCCATAGCCATAGAGTATAGAGTTGTTGGTACATGCGTAAACAAGTATTTTTATGGTTCCCCGGCCACGGGGCATTAAAGGATGCCCCACGGCTGTGGAGCAGGACAGGATGATGGGACACGGCCATAAAGGCACTTAATTGCCATTTTATTACCGCAGCTATTAGGCCACAGACGGCCAACCAGCCAGCCAGCCAGCCAGCCAGTCAGTCAGTCAGTCTGTGCGACTTTCATTAGAAGTTGAAAGGAACTCCTGCCTGCGAATTGAGCTTCACTTTCGCGTCAGAAATACGCCATCTGCAGTGGGGCATATTGCACTACATTTGCATCAACAACAACATCCGCTGAAATCACTGTTAGTGGTTGATTCCTTGCACTGAGCAAAATAATATCACCTCAGATTTAATCTGTTCTTTCTAATCGAGAAGACTATTTAAGTTGGAGCCCTTTGCCTCTTAAATTCTCCTTTGAGTTTGTAACTAATTGAGAATTTTATTTAGCTCCTAACAATACAAATGCAAATAATATATTAGAAAATTGGACAGCCCTAAAGTTAACCTGTATCATTTACTTACTACAATAATAACAAGTAAGCTATGAGTTAAATATAATGATATTTATTGTCATTATTGTACCAAAAATAAATCTTTTTAAAACAATATATACACCTATTGAATCTATCCCTATTTTATAGCATTCTCTCAGTGTTTATCCGTTTTTGCTCTTCGGCTGCCACATGCAAAGTGGCTCCCTTCAGCGAATGCAGTGCCATCCGGCGATATCTTTAATGAAATCTGCATGTTGTGCGCTTTAACAAGCATTCTGCTTGTCTACTCATGTCGCCCTCCCCCGTATCTATGTGTCTCCATCGGCAGAGCCTTGTGCCATTGCGATCCTTTTGTGCGGGGAACTCCAAGATCCCAGATCCCGGATACCAAATACCAAATACAGAATAAAAGAACCGAGACGAGAACAGAACAGAACGGAGAAGAAAAGAACGAGCCTGTGGCTAGATCACCAACTTAGTTGTTGGGCCAGGCAAATCTTGTTAGCGTAAATATTAACTTGTAAATATGATGATGCCCTCATGGAAATTGTACGAATTGCTGATAAATATCATTAGGTCTCAACTCTCTTCCCTGCACCGCGCCATCTGTATTATACCCTTGCAGAGGGTATTATAATTTCAGTCAAAAGTTTGCAACGCAGTGAAGGAGACATTTCCGACCCTATAAAGTATATATATTCTTGATCAGCATCACCAGGAGAGTCGATCTAGCCATGTCCGTCTGTCCGTCTGTCCGTCCGTCTGTCCGTCTGTCCGTCCGTCCGTTTCTACGCAAACTAGTCCCTCAGTTTTAAAGCTATCTGCTTGAAACTTTCCCAAAAGTTGTCTTTCTATTGCAGGTAGTATATAAGTCGGAACGAGCCGGATCGGGCCACTATATCATATAGCTGCCATATAACTGAACGATCGGAAATGCCATAACTTTGGTGTTTTTAAAGTTATCAAGTTGGGATTTTCTATGGGTTTTATTTTTGGCCAATCAATCCGACCTACCAAATTACATAAGGATCGGCCGACTATATCCTATAGCTGCCATATAACTGAAGGATTGGAAATGCCATAACTTTGGTGTTTTTAAAGTTAGGAAGTTGAGACTTTTTATGAGTATTAAGAATACACCATATGAATAATTTTGAAGAATATAATTTACAGAATATTCTGCAAGGGTATATCAACTTCGGCTCCGTCCGAAGTTAGCTTTCCTTTCTTGTTATACCCTTGCAGAGGGTATTATAATTTTGGTCAAAAGTGTGCAACGCAGTGAAGGAGACATCTCCGACCCTATAAAGTATATATATTCTTGATCAGGATCACCTCCTGAGTTGATATAGCCATGTCCGTCTGTCCGTCTGTCCGTCTGTCCGTCTGTCTGTCCGTCTGTCTGTTTCTACGCGAACTAGTCTCTCAGTTTTAAAGATATCGAATTCAAACTTTGCACACACCCTTCTTTCCTTTGCACGCAGTATATAAGTCGGAACGGCCGGGATCGGCCGACTATATCCTATAGCTGCCATATAACTGATTGATCGGAAATGCCATAACTCTGCTGTTTGTTAAGTTAGGAAGTTGGGACTTTCTATGGGTTTTATATTTGGCCAATCAATCCGACGTACCAAATTTCATAAGGATCGGCCGACTATAGCCTATAGCTGCTATATAACTGATTGATCGGAAATGCCATAACTTTGGTGTTTGTAAAGTTAGGAAGTTGGGATTTTCTGTGGGTTTTATATTTGGCCAATTAATCTGACCTACCAAATTTCATAAGGATCGGCCGACTATATCTTATAGCTGCCATATAACTGATTGATCGGAAATGCCATAACTTTGGTGTTTGTTAAGTTAGAAAGTTGGGATTTTCTGTGGGTTTTATATTTGGCCAATTAATCCGACCTACCAAATTTCATAAGGATCGGCCGACTATATCTTATAGCTGCCATATAACTGATTGATCGGAAATGCCATAACTTTGGTGTTTGTTAAGTTAGAAAGTTGGGATTTTCTATGGGTTTTATTTTTGCCCAATCAATTCGACATAACAAATTTCATAAGGATCGGCCGACTATATCCTATAACTGCCATATAACTGATTGATCGGAAAAGAAATAACTTTGGTGTTTTTAAAGTTAGGAAGGTGGGATTTTTTATGAGTATTAAGAATGCATCATATGAATAATTTTGGAGAATATAATTTGCAGAATATTCTGCAAGGGTATTTCAACTTCGGCTCCGCCCGAAGTTAGCTTTCCTTTCTTGTTTTTTATTTGTATTTGTATCTGTATCTGTGTTTGGATTGCATTTCGCCTGGCAATTCTATTAAGATTCTTATCTAAAGTGCTTGTACAACCTATTTGTTGTATACGGCCAGTGAGTAAGTGTACTCGTAATTGTTTAGCAAATCAGTGGAGAGTTGAAAGCATTGCCAAAGCCATGATTGTTGCT